CAAAGTACCCCGACCCACTAGAATCCATTATTCTGACGAAAGTTATGTATCGGGAGGACACGATGCCAACCATCTTCGCTTAAAGAAAACAAGAAATCGCAAGCAGCGGTGGGACTTTCCCGTTGGCCACCAAGAGTCCGAGCAACAAAACCACAACGTCGCAGCACAATCACCGCAACACGCACAGCTATCATGTGGCCCGCCGAGGCCCGGATTTTTTGCCAAACATGACCATCGTGCGGACCGGGGCTTTTTCCAAGACAATAGGGCGCGAAAGTCCAATTCCAACAAATTGACAGAACTATGCACCTGCCATGGACGCGAGATGCGAAAGGTTTTGCTCATGGTACTTGCCTGGACGCTGGGATCTAATGTGTGTTCAGGGAGGTAAAAAAAAAAATACGCGCGAGTATACTATAGTACGTAGGATATATACGAAGCACTTCGTGAGTGTGCAACTCGCATTCCAGCTAAACGCATGTACGCGAGGGATTGTAGAATGAATCAACACACCCCCGGTGCGTAACGGGCATACCTTAAAGCTGGTCTCGTCACGGTCGCAATTGCAAGTGCACATGCAAAGCAATCTCGTCAGGGTACTGACCTTGACCATGTTGGCGAGCACTTTCGAAACGGATATTGGCTGCACTCCGGAGGCGTCCTGAGTACCGAACTCTGACCCATGTTCATCCCACCACTTTCGAATTTCGGCACACCAGAACTGCGTGCCGCCGCGCCGAACCTCCGTCCGGCGGTGGTGCAGAAGGAAGAACAAGACGGGGAGCTTGCAATGCTTATCGCCCCTTCTCGTCGGGGTGTTCCCAAAGGGGAAAGGTGGGGTTGCTTCAGCTCGGTCGCTAGCCTGGAATGTGAACCCGCACGTGTAAGGTGGAAGACAACTGCAAACGTATCGCGATGTCAACCCTCGCGAGCGCTACGCCTTCGTGACTTATGTATTCGACGGCGCATCAAACGGAACTACTGCTGCAACGCGGTGAGGTACACACACCGCAGTGTCCCCCTTCACCCTCCTTCTCGAAACAAAGGTCGAACTCACCTCGGGAGCGTCAAAGAGGGGCATTTGACGCGGCACAGAAGGACCGAGTGCTGGGCGCTTCTCCTCCCTAGCATCTTGTTCGCGGCGTACAGACGACGTCGGCTCATCGAGCGCCCTGCCCCTCCTACTGCTGCGCACCGGAGTCGTGTGGCGCTTCCGTCTGCTCGCAATACAGCAGTCGAGAGAAATGTGTAAGAATATTTGGTAAGACAGCCGGCGTTGCTGGCGGAGAAACGGTACGACACTTGTGTTGTGGTACTACTGATGCGTGCACAAACCCTTGTCCGCTACCGAAGCAACCAAACAGCGGTAGCTAATTGCACAGCGATCATGAGACACGTTGAGGCGAAATTACTCTTTCGTTTTCACCCGACTTCCGGGGCAACCGTTTGAATTGCTGACAAATGACAAGGGATATATCTTCGTGTGGGGCACATCGCGGGCAACCGTAACCTATGCCGAGACGCGTGTGACCACGCGTAGCCCTTGGAGGGAGTTGGTGGATCAATCTGAGATGACAGGACCGTCTTCGCCCCTCTCGTACATGCGGGAGAGTGGTCCCCATGTCTTTCCGGTGGCTGGCCGCAAGTTGCCAACTTCGCCATACAACGGGGAACGACTCTGCCATGCAAGCGTCTTTTCCAGCAAGGAAAGCTTCGCAGTGTTCAGGAGCAACACGGGTATGCCCCCCTAAGTTCGCTGCACACAAGAGGTCGTTCACGCAGAGATATTCCCTTCCAGGTGTGGGGGGCACCGACTTGGCGGGATGTGCTGCAGCATGAAGACGTCACGCCAACGATCAAAAACTCTACCGTCACTGACCTCCGAACATGATGACCACGGCACACGAACGAAGGAGTGTGTTGACTGTGTGCTCCGACCCTCAGATGGTCCTGGGGTGCGCAGGGTCTTCGACCCTGCGCACAATGTGTGCGCTTTGCAAATGCACGAAAGAGCAATACCGTCTGACGACGCCAAAAGCGGCAAAATACACGAGGATGGGGGGCCGGGGTTGGTGCCCCAGCGTCCCCTGTGCGCCTCCTACCTTTTTTTTTTTGGTATACCTTTGTATGCCACCTGTGTTGCAAGTCTCTTAAAAAAAAATGACGAAGGGCCTCCGCGAAAATCGATGGTACCCCGCTTACGCCCCCATGATGGGTTGCCCAGCGCACCATCTGGTGCACACCTTTTGTCACTGCTGGTGCTCCTCACACAGGTAGCTACGGGCCATGAAACCTGCAGGGTACCTCAACCATGTTGTGTTCTACACGCGCAGACATTTGGTTTGGCCTGGTGTAGCGCTAAAACTGGCAAATACCGTGCTATCAAACAGGGTTGCTACTTCAAGCCCGTTCCTCAGCTCTCAGCACCAAACTTCACGCTGCTAGACGTGGGCGAAGGAATTGACGAACTCGCTCGAGACTTCGACAGAGTAGACAACATAGGCATAGGTAGCATTGAGGGGTTGGCGAAATGTGGGATCACCACCACGAGGGTCGTTCCAGTGAAGCGTCGACCAAACACGCTCCACACGTCTACCTCCAATTTTGTTGGGGTTCTCCCGCAAGTTCCCCCGCAATTTGACTTTCATGCTCTAGACGCGCCCAAAAAACGATCCCGTCCAATTTTTTTATGGCACCACGCTGTAGAGACATACCTGGGGTTGCTTTTGAAGGTTGGCCACATTTGGGATCGCCACTACAGCCGGAGATTTAAATGAACAATGGCCTGTCCCATAGGAACTCGGCGGCTGCGGGGGCTCCGCATGATCGATGCCTTGTCGTAGTTAAAATGCGATTTTTTTGGAGACTTGCAACATGGGTGCTGTTATGGAAATGTTAGCACATAGCCAGTATTAGTCAATGTTCAGTAACACTGCTCTTGTATACATGTCGTAGTAGATCTCATATATATGTTGTTTGTTGTTGTTTCTCACATTAGCTCTAAAAAAGAAAGATTGGGAGCCCGTGGTCTCAAAACCCGGCATACACGACCCCACGAAGAAACAGAAAAAAATAGGGTACAAAAACCACTCGGAAGAGAAACAAAATGATAGAAAGAAAGACCAGCTACCGCACCAAACGAGAAAGAGCGTCGAGGAGACCGATCAAAATAAAATAAAAGGAGAACGGGGAACGCTTCCCACACCCGCCTACAACGCCGGAGGGTTCCGTGCCGGGTTCCCGCCGACCAGGCATATATATGTGTCGGTTCCAACGTCGGTTCGAATGTAACGTACGTATGTGTACGCGGAGGAATTACTCTCGCAGGATTCTCTGCGTGGTGCTTGGTAGCCGAGTAGCTCACTCTCTGGTGTGATCCTTCCGGATTGTATTGGCCACCTAAGCGCCAGTGTTCCAATATTTCAACATCTTCTTCACTCCGTGGAAGGACTCTCATCTTCCAGGCTACCCTCTCGCACGTGCCATCACCTCGACTAACGTCGACGACACAGCCTCTATACCACCGTGCCAGGGTATTACACAATATCCATAATAGGTTATGAGCCTCGACTGTGTATGACTGGAGGCCTGCGGCGACTGCGTCTTCTGCTGGTGTCGAGCACTGTGAAGCACACATACACATCTTCCAGCTTGGGTATTCTCCGCGGGGAGCTAGCGTCGGAGTCTGCTTTCTGCTGGAGGTCACACTGAGTCACGCTTGCTTGTTGGGCCCGGACTGATCACCTGGGTTCTTGGCTGCACATTTCGGTACGATATTGTGTAAAGCATTCGGGGGCATAATTTCTAGGCGTTGATTTCGGTCGGCGAATAGAGCTGTGCAGGTTGTTGGTTCTGCGTGCGGAGTGCCGTCCTTGGTGTTCTGTGTGTTGTTCATACCTAAATCGCCTGGGCGTGGTCCTTCGCGAGGCGTATAGTCTGTCCAAGATATCTCCCACGTGCTGAGTTGCCAAGCTTGGTAGCGTGTGCAGGCTGAGGATACGACTGCTAGCTGGTAGCCGACTGCTGCTACAGCTACACCCACGTAATCCGCTTACGTAAAATTACCTGCGCGTTGTGCTATACGCGAGGTAGGTCTGTCCAAGATATCTTACGCATACTGTGTGCATTCCGGTGCGAGTGTAGGTTGAGGATCTGATCAGGCCTGTTTGCATCCGTGCAGCAGCCACAAGTCTGCGCTGAAAGAAGCGTAGCAAGTCTAAGCAGTACATCTGACCCGTGTGCTTGCAGGACGAGGCCGGAGCTGGCAACTTGGTCGCCGCAACACCGCAGCCTAGCCACCTGCGGTAGGTCATAGCTGTGCTNATACTGTGTGCATTCCGGTGCGAGTGTAGGTTGAGGATCTGATCAGGCCTGTTTGCATCCGTGCAGCAGCCACAAGTCTGCGCTGAAAGAAGCGTAGCAAGTCTAAGCAGTACATCTGACCCGTGTGCTTGCAGGACGAGGCCGGAGCTGGCAACTTGGTCGCCGCAACACCGCAGCCTAGCCACCTGCGGTAGGTCATAGCTGTGCTCGAAGTTGCGCACTAGTCCGAGCGGACACTACATCGCTTCCGCTGGACGTGGGTTGTACGCTAGAATGCTGCGACCTGCACCAAGCCTACCTCTGTGTAGCATAGCAAACTTTTGTACAGGCGCGCCGAACCTTCACAGGTAATCGAGGCGTCTTACGCGTGCTGAAAACCGTATAACGCTTGGCGTGTGACCCTGGTTTCAGTGATGGCGGAATCATCAAGCTCCGGGCTCCACCGCATGCTGGACTCCATTGGGAAATGCGCGNAAGTTGCGCACTAGTCCGAGCGGACACTACATCGCTTCCGCTGGACGTGGGTTGTACGCTAGAATGCTGCGACCTGCACCAAGCCTACCTCTGTGTAGCATAGCAAACTTTTGTACAGGCGCGCCGAACCTTCACAGGTAATCGAGGCGTCTTACGCGTGCTGAAAACCGTATAACGCTTGGCGTGTGACCCTGGTTTCAGTGATGGCGGAATCATCAAGCTCCGGGCTCCACCGCATGCTGGACTCCATTGGGAAATGCGCGAGACGTTCGGGTTTTCGCGAGTGGAAGACCAAGCTTCGACAAGCAATCATCCTCCACGCTTCGGAGCTTCTCCCCGTCCTCAACGGAAACGCGCGTCCTTCGGCGACCGCGGCGAACGCGGAGGATGTGGCCGCGTGGGACAAGGCCAACGGTCGCCTGTTCTCCCTCCTCATTTCGTGACCTGGTCTACACAGCTCACTGTCCGCACTCACGAAGGGGCAGTGGATAGTGACATTGGGGATGGGACGGCGGTCGGGAGAGCTCTCAACGAGCGTTTCGATGCTCAAACCCAGGAAGCTCGGCGTGCGTGTTACAACGAGCTGTTCAACCTGCGACACCTTGCGGGCGGTGATCCCATCGAGTTCTTCACAAAGGGGTGGGATCTCAAGCTTCGCCTTAAGGTGCTGGAGGAGGAAGTATCGGACCCAGTCTACCTGGACATCATGCTCTCAGGCCTGACCAAGGCTCCGGAGTTCAACTTCATCAGGGAGATGCACTACCGTGACAATATTACTTCAGTAGACATTCTCCAGGCGACGGCTAACCGCTTTCTTGTGGATCAGCAGTCGCGCAACGCGTCGGGCCCCGTGGTCTCGGGCCGGGGGACTTCGATGGCGGTCGCTTCCGACACCAACCAGTGCCGCCGATGCAAGGCGCACGGACACTTCCAGCGCGATTGTCCCCAACAGGGCCAAAAGAGCCGTCCTAAGCAGGGCAAGAAGAAGGGAGCCAACAAGCGAGGAAGTGGTGGGAGTGCACAGCCAAAGTGGTGCACCTACCACAACACCAAGACACAGCGATGCTGAGTGCCAGAAGCAAAAGGAGATGCAGGAAAACAAGCAAAAGGAGCTTGAAAGGTTGGCGGCTAACCTGGCGCTNACTTCGATGGCGGTCGCTTCCGACACCAACCAGTGCCGCCGATGCAAGGCGCACGGACACTTCCAGCGCGATTGTCCCCAACAGGGCCAAAAGAGCCGTCCTAAGCAGGGCAAGAAGAAGGGAGCCAACAAGCGAGGAAGTGGTGGGAGTGCACAGCCAAAGTGGTGCACCTACCACAACACCAAGACACAGCGATGCTGAGTGCCAGAAGCAAAAGGAGATGCAGGAAAACAAGCAAAAGGAGCTTGAAAGGTTGGCGGCTAACCTGGCGCTCCTGCAGTCAGCTGGCCATGCCAACTTTCTGCAATTCTCCAATATCGGGAGTGCTCACCTGGCGCAATCGTCTCCGGCGGTGGCGCAACATGCTCCGTCAGAGCCGACTTCGTTCGGGTTCTCCTTCAACGCCCCGGAACTTCCTTGGCAGAAGCAACCTCGTCGTCTGCCTCTTCCCAGCCACGTCCGGCGGCATCTACCGCCGCACAGGTGGCACCTGTATCTGCCTCATCAACGTCGAATGCGCAGGACCACCGACTGCCTTCAGGGTTCTTCGGAGCGTTCATGGCGACTCATGCAGAGTTATCGTTTGCTCCTTTTCGCTCCGACGGATCGTCCATCCGGATGGTTGTGTACAGTGGAGCGACAGACAACTACCTCGACCCTGGGCTTCCACCAGGATTGCGGAATCACATGCGCGACGTTGAACACCTTCGGGTCCCACACACGATCGTCGCCGCGGGCCAGCATGTCCTCAAAGGCGTTGCGACGGGGACTATCTTCGGCGCCGTCACGGACGACAATGGGAACGACTGGCACGTCTCCTTTCGCGTCATCTTGGTACCAGGGCTGGGCACCAACCTCTTCTCCGTGACATTGGCGATGTTAAAGGGGGTGACGACGTTTGTTTCATACGGACAATCCCAGGTTGGAGTCGGGGGACGTGGCTATCCCCATGCAGACCCTCGGGGTGGACACCACGACCGGAAAACGCAAATACTCCATCGAGGTGAACCTCGAGGGTGAACCTGGGGGGCCGACGGTCCTCGAAGACGCCCCTGATGCCCTCGCCTTGAAGGTGGAGTCCGCTGATCTCTGGCACCGGCGCATGGGGCACATCAATGGCAAGAGCTCGGACGTTCTACGGAAAGAACCGGTCAACGGCGTGGACTACATCGGAGACTTGAAGGACTGTAGTGCCTGCCCGCTCGGAAAGTGCGCTCAACAACCTCACCCAAAGCAGGCGCCTACGGCGTCCTGCGCCCGTTCCAGAACGTTTCCGTCGACACCCTTGGCCCCTTCAAACCTACAGCGTTGGGCGGATTCAAGTACGCCACCAAGTTCGTGGACCAGCAGACCAAGTGGGTGGATATAGTTCTCATGAAGGACAGGACCTGTTCTGCAGACTCCCTCGCGTTGTTCAACAAAGGGACCGTGGTTCCTAACGGCGAACGCATTCATTGCCTGCTGTCACCAGGTTAGGTGACAGCAGGGTGGTGAACGAGGGTCTACGTCGGCACCTGCTGTCACCAGGTCGAGTTCGCGCATGCCCAACGCAAAGACCATCTGCGAGCTCCGTCGTATCTCCCACGCATTTACCGCGAAAGGGGAGTTCCTTGACGTTGCCCATAGGGAGCTCCTTTGGTTTCACGGAATACACGTACGCTATGGGGGCATCCCAACCGGATGTTCCACGAACGATCCAAGAGGCAAGGGCCATGCCGGACGGAGCGCAGTGGAACACAGCTACAGAGAGCGAGATCGCGAGTCTCAAAGGAACGTCAAGTTTACAAGCTCGTCCCGCGCACGGCAGTTCCCTCAGGGAGGAAGCGGACAAAGTCCAAGTGGGTGTTCAAGCGTAAGGAAGACGGCTCCTTCAAGGGGCGTCTAGTGGCGCAAGGCTGGAACCAAGTGCCTGGACTGGACTGCGGCAGCACCTACGCTCCGGTGTGCAGGTTACAGAGCATTCGGATGTTGGCGTGCATAGCCGTGCAATTCAACCTGGAGTTGGATCAAATGGACGTGTCCACAGCCTTCCTCTACGCTGACATCCTGGAGAAGTTGTTCGTCGAACAGCCACTTGGCTTCGAGGTCAGGGACAACGATGGAGGTGATCTAGTGATGCAGCTACAAAAGAGCCTCTACGGGCTGGCCCAAAGCCCCAGAAACTGGTTCCACACCATCGACCCTTTCCTTGTTGAGATAGGTTTCGTTCCGCTCAAGTCTGACACTGGCGTCTACCTGCACGACCACGACGACGATGTTCATGTCTTCTTGACACTCTACGTGGACGATCTTCTTCTTGCCGAAAACAACGCCAACGTCATCGTGATGATCAAAAACAAACTATAACAAAGGTTCAAGATGACAGACATGGGCGAGGTGAAACTTGTCTTGGGCATGGAAACTAAGAGGGAACGCAACCAAGGTACACTGACGATTTCCCAGGAAGCATACAGCAAGTCCATCTTAGAGAGGTTTGGGATGTCGGAATGCAAACCGACCAGCACGCCTGGCTACGGTTCGGAGCTCTCCAACAAGCAACCAGAGGACACTCTGCTAGGCGAGGAGGAAACGCGACCTTATCAGGGCATCGTGGGGTGCCTGATGTACATCGCTCAATTGCTCCGCTACGACATCATGTACGCTACGAGCCAACTTGCCCGCCCAATGGCGAAACCCAGCAAGATCCACATGATGGCAGCTAAACACACTCTTCGCTATGTGGCTGGAAGCACGGACTTCAGAATCACCTTCAAGAGTTGAGGTTCAAGCTTGCGACCTTTTCGGACTCCAACTGGGCAAACAACCCGGACAACGGAAAGTTCACATCTTGCTACTTGACGATGCTAGGCAATGCACCGGTGAGTTTTAAGCCGGGGATACAAGGTCCAACTGCCATGTCTACCATGGAGGCAGAGCTGATTGCATCGGCACTAGCCATGAAGGAAGTGTTCTGTTCTAACATGCCAACTGAGCTAGGGTTCGGTAACGAGTTTGCGCAAGTGCCGCTGTACTGCGACAACACGGCGACGCTGCACGCGCTTGGAAACCGCTCCTTCAGCTCGAGGACAACACATATCGCACTTCGCTTCTTTTACATCCGAGAGCTAATAGTATCGGAAGGACGGATATCGACCCAATACATCCCGACGGACAGCAACATTGCCAACATCGGGACAAAGCATCCTACCAAGCATCGGCTCAAACACCTGCTGGACATCATCAGCAGTTTCAACGTCAAAGACTTCATCAGCAACAAGTTCAAGTAATCGTGTTTTTGTTTGTGTGTTACTATTTTTGCATCTGTTCCGTTTGTGTGAATCAGCGTATTCTTTCGGTAGTCAACATTCGGCCTCGCACCATCGCTGGTTGAACGAGCCATGCAGGATTGAAAGTTATGGTGCTTTGGTTGATGCAAGAAACAATAGCAGGTACTCTTTGCAAGCGCATGAATGTATTGTAGCACGTGTAAAGCATGAAATATCACTTGGTACGTTAGTAATTTAAACGCATGAAACGAACGAGTTACGCTACGCACGAAACAAGAATAGTCTAGACTACTTGCTTGATTTAACTTTCATCACTGTAGTTTGGTACAATTCAGAGCAACTTTCATTGAAGGGGAGTGTTACGGAAATGTTAGCACATAGCCAGTATTAGTCAATGTTCAGTAGCACTGCTCTTGTATACATGTCGTAGTAAATGTCATTTGTGTCGAATGTCGGTTCGAACGTAACGGACGTATGTTTGTTGTTGTTGTTGTTGTTGCTGTTGTTTCTCACATGAGCTCTATGGTCTACAATAATTGCGGAGCCCGTGGTCTCAAAACCCGGCACATACGACGCCGTGGGGAAACAAAATAAAATAGGGTACAAACCACTCGGAAAAAGAAAACAAAATGATAAAAAGAAAATAACAGGTACCGCATCGACCGTTCGATGAAAGAGCCCTCGAAAACCGATCAAAATCAAACGAAAACAACAAAAAAGGAGGACGCTTCCCACACCCGCCTAAAAAAAAAATCAAAGGGTAACGTACCAGCACCAGGCACTACGCACCAGGGCATGGGAGCAACGGAGCAAACAGGACACAGAGGCGGCAGATATGTAGACAGCCAGATCTACAAAAAACAAAAGCAGCAGCAAAAGCGAGATCAAGGTACCGAACGCAGCAGAGTAGGCAGGGAGGTCATGAAAAAAGAAACACAGCACAGAGGCCGAAGGCAATACAAAGGGCATACATAAAGGAGTATAGCATACAGCAGGGAGGGAAACAGGGCGCAACAATATCAGCCGGGTGCATAGTTCGCCACAAGTGCTGCCTCGGCCGCCCTACTCGCTTCTACAGCAGTAGTGCCAGGTCGCCGTTTCTTCCCCCCCACCGCCGCTTCCCCGACTCTCATTCTCTTCGGTCCTGAGATGGCCGTACTCTCTGCTTCTGCTTCCCTCGCGCGCTGGCGCTTCGCGGACGCTTCCGCCTCCTGCCTGTGCCATTTCCTCATGAACCATGCCGCCCCGTCCTCGACCTTGTTGTGTATGCGGAGGAATTACTCTCGCAGGATTCTCTGCGTGGTGCTTGTGGTAGCCGGGTAGCTCACTCTCTGGTGTGATCCTTCCGGATTGTATTGGCCACCTAAGCGCCAGTGTTCCAATATCTCAACATCTTCTTCACTCCATGGAAGGACTCTCGTCTTCCAGGCTACCCTCTCGCACGTGTCATCACCTCGACTAACGTCGACGACACAGCCTCTACACCACCGAGCCAGGGTATTACACAATATCCATAGGTGCGTAGACCATTATCCTCGCATCCCTACAAAGCCGGGACGTAGCACGCCGGGTTTTCACCGGACCAGGCTCTCACATCACCAGGCGCGAAGCGCCGTGAGGTATTCGGCGAGTTGCATGAAGGGTGCGCTGCATCCTGCTAAGGGTGTTCGGCATCGTGTCCTTACTTCCTTGCGTGCGGATGACAGCTGCGTATGACTTAATTTATTTTCTGGTGCTTTCACTCCCAGAGACAATTGTAAGCACAGCGTCATTGCCTCAAGAGTGCTTGACCAATTTAACACAACGTGGTGCGATCATCCCCTTTGCGCGGAGTAAGGGGTCTCGACCCCGCACAACAGAATCTAGTCGAGCACCATTTTGGTTACCGAAAAAAAAAAGGGAGGCAAAAGAAATACGCGGTAACCTGGTTGCCGAGCTCACGAGGTGAGCGGCTTGTTTTACAACGCGTTGCCAAGCGACGCAAACCCCAACCCAATGATGGCAAACACCCGGGGGGGGGATTGGGGGTGGGGGGTGGGGGGGCGTACTCTTATGTTTTGCATGCCGTGGCGGTTAGACCATTGGCCACTCGTCCTCAAGCGGACGGAGCATTGTTGAACAGTTCCCACAAGATGAGAACTGAAGGAGGTGAAGCCGTGGGCGGTAGCGTGCTCCTAGAGATAGATGAAGGTTCTGTCGTTGGCACGCTTTCCACGACCACGTTGAGATGGGAAAATTGCTTGTTACTGCTGAGAGACGATCAGCAAGGATCTGGGATGAAGTGGGGATCCAACTTCATTTCAGGGGCTACACAGAGTAGACTATTCTAGGGGCGTAGGGGTAAGAAATGACAAGCCGATGGCGGAGTTCAGTCGGTACTACCGTCAACAGCAACCACCGTGCACCCTTTTGGAGTCTCCCAAGATATTCGTGTACAACCTACTTCTTTGGATGCTACCCACGTTCCTCAACCACATCTAGTTTCTCGACCCGCCTCCCCTTTGTCCGCCTCATCTTCTGCTGGTATCGGACATGACAAACCAACTTCGGCAGTACCTTTGTGGTGTGGGCGACAGGGAGGTAAGACGTCGAGTGGTCCACCCCTGCTCACCTCGTCGTCTCGGGTTACAGGAACATGAGCCTCGTCTTCTACTATTCGTCAAGATTCTCCTGGTGTTGTCAACCGGGCCTCTTCTCGGATCGCACACGAGCCTTCTTCTACACTCGTCGGGAATTCCGTCGATCCTCCTTCTCTTTCGCAGCGTTCGTTGTCTTCGACCGTCCGCTGCCCCCGTGTGACAGCACCTGATACGAATGCGTCTTCCTCTGCTGCCCACCACGTGCTGACTGCACCACTGCCATCGGGGTCGGATGGTAGTGCCCACCATTCTGTGGAAAGTTCGGCTCCTTTGTCAAGGGGGAGTAGTCAAGAGCGCCCTGCGTCAATGAACAAACATCCGCTTGCTGCAGGAATGACTTCTCCTAACGAACGGGTCTCTAACAGCCAAATGGCCTCTGCTAACATTGACCCCGCCGGAGCCGCCGCCCTAAGGCCGCCCTCCAGATCACGGAGCGTTACGACTTCGCCCACTCCTGCCTCGCTTGCTGGGTCCATCCCGTTGGAGATGAGGACCCTTCCGCTTGGTCCACCCCCGCCTGTGCCTGGTGCCCGCTCTTTGCCCCTTCGCCCTGCACCGGCTCCGTCGTTTGATGACAAGTAAGAGTACCCTTCGGATGACGTCCTTCTCTTGTGGAAACCCCGTCTGTGTTCTCGCAATGGACCTCTTCGGCTTTTGACGTACTGGCGGTACGTTATTCATGTGGTGAGTAATTGATAATGTCTGAAAAAAGCGAAGTTGTTTGGAGATATGACGTCGTATAACAAAATTATGGCCGCAACAGATCCCAAGACACACAAGTTTGGGGGTCGTAACGTACGTCCTTTCGACTATGCTGAATGGGAGCGTCGTCGTGAAGAGATCGTGCTCACGGGGTCGAATGCCAAATTTGCGAAAAAACCATGACATGAAACATCATTTACTGGAGACGGGTACCCGCCTCCTTGCGGAAGCCAGCCCCTTCGATCATGTTTGGGGTATCGGCATGTCTGCATGCTTTTCAGAAGCTAGCGTTTCGTCCAAGTGGGCGGCTAGCGGTAAAAACTTGTTGGGAAAGCTTTGACGGAAGTTCGACGCCTTTTGCGTGATCATCCCCTGTCTGACGAAGATTTCTCCGCTTCCAATTCTCCCACGCCCCCCATTTCGCAGCCTCNAATGCCAAATTTGCGAAAAAACCATGACATGAAACATCATTTACTGGAGACGGGTACCCGCCTCCTTGCGGAAGCCAGCCCCTTCGATCATGTTTGGGGTATCGGCATGTCTGCATGCTTTTCAGAAGCTAGCGTTTCGTCCAAGTGGGCGGCTAGCGGTAAAAACTTGTTGGGAAAGCTTTGACGGAAGTTCGACGCCTTTTGCGTGATCATCCCCTGTCTGACGAAGATTTCTCCGCTTCCAATTCTCCCACGCCCCCCATTTCGCAGCCTCCTCTCCATGGACATCGACGCATTCATGAGGTTGCTACTGCGGCAGGTTCGTCGTCACGGGAGGACCGGGGCGAAGACCCAGCTTGTCTCCGTTTGGACGCTCCGGGGGACCATGCTCCTGGCGTTCACCTGGTGGCATCGACCTCCGCTTGTGCAGACCAACCTCCTCGTCTGGAACATGGGCCCGATCTGGTCGGCGGCACGCTCCTGTTTGACTCGGACTCATACACCTCCCGGGTCATGCTGCATGGAGGACCTACAGCCACTTCTCAACTCGCGCGCGTGGTGCTTCTGGACTCTGGGTCTCCTGCGTCCTTCGTGTCCGACTCCGTGGTCACCGCCATGATAGCTGCTGGAGCCCGGACAGCTGGCAGCGTTCGTGTTTCGCCCTCTCGTCGTTGGGATGGGTTTGATGATGGACCTGCCCTTGTGACCACCCGGTCAATTCGTCTCACTGTTAATTTTCTCCATGGAGATCGAGCTACCGCTTCCTTGGCGGTCTGGGCCTGTGCTGTTCCAGACGCCGCCATGGGGCACGCCGTGCTTCTTGGCCGTGATAGCTGGATGCGCTTTAACTCGCGCGTGTCACCACCCTCCCCCACTCTGGACCGGACGGCGGGGTTATGGACGAGCTCACGCTCTCTCCGCGTTTTTCAGCTGGCGCTTGCGTTTACGCTACACACGACGACACTCCTGCCTCCTCGTTTCACCTTAAATATGCAGGGAACTCGGGAATTTCCTTGGGGCCGGAGCCTGCACTCGTTGAGGTGGACCTCGTTCGTTCTTTTGGCATGCCTGCGCTGATCGGAGAGTATCTGGTATCGTTCAAACCCGAAGTCGGTGCGCTTTCATCCCCAGATGCGGTCGTGTCCAATGGTCTCCAGCGTATTCCCCTTGCAGGTTGTGCCAAGCTGGAGCCGGGAGACGTTATTGGAGCGTCTGCCGCGCCGCTACTTCGAGTACCGGTGGAAACCCTGAAGGTGGCACCATCTTCGATTCCTACCGGCCCCACAACCTCTACATCACCACCTCGGGTCAACGTCGTTGGCCCCAAGTCCGGGACTCACCGCCCTCCGGACCCAGCCTCCGCCCCGCCTCCTCCAAAGCCGCCTCCACAAGAACTATTTGACCGCGTCTCTGAGGCACAGCGCTCCAGCTTCATGCGCTTGGGGCTAGGCTGCCTGCACATATGCACGACATCGCTTTCGATCTACACAATCCGGGATGGACACCGGAGACTATTGATCGTTTGGCCGACGCCCGGTATTGTGGCGTGTTCTCTACTTCGAAAACCGATTTTGGTTCCTGCACCATCATGCCGTTCACTCTTTCTGTCCCAGCAGGGACGAAGCCCATTGCATCACGCCCGTATCGTACCAACCCGTTGATGCAAAAGAAAGTGGATGCCGTTTTGGACCAGTATTTGGCGGCAGGGCTCATTCAACATTCCACGTCTCCGTGGGCTTCTCCTTTTGTTATCATTCCCAAGAAGGACGGACCGGTTCGCATCACCGTCAACTACAAACGTCTCAACGCTCTGGTGGATTTGGATGGACAACCTCTCCCTCGAGTGGACGGTATCTTGGATTCTCTGTACACCGGGAAAGTGTTCTCCATCTTCGACCTCAACTCGGCTTTCCACCAGATCGATTGTGATGAAGACACTGTCCCGCTCACCGCCTTTTGCACTCCCACGCAGTTGTTCGAATGGCTTCGGATGCCGCAGGTAGCCAACGCAAGTCCGTCTTGGTTCGTCAAGGTCATCAACAGAGTCGTGCACGGTCTGAAACGTGTGCTTGGGTGTCTGGACGATGGCACCTGTTTCGATGAGGAACCTCTGGGGACACGTACGGAACATGATCGAGTTCTTCAAACGGCTGCGACAGTACAACCTCAAACTGTCTCCAGGAAAGGCTCGCGTTGGCGCCACACACGCCAACTTCCTCGGTTACACCATCTCTCCGGCCGGTGTTAGCCCTGATGGCGTTGAGGTTAGGGGGCTCACGCACATGCCGCCGCCGCCGAATGTTAAGCAGCTTCGGAGCCTTCTCGGTGGACTCAGCTACTATCGGAAATTCCTAAGAAACTCGCCACCTAGGTGCGGCCTCTCAACTCTCTTCTCAAACAAGGCGTTCCCTTCAAGTACACCCCGGGCATGGTCAAGGTTGTCAAAACGTTGTTAAGCGAACTCGCTCGCCCCCCGATTTTGGTCTTCCGCGATTGGGCAGCAGTCGAGGACAACAGCCGTCCTCTTCGATTGTGCTCCGACGCGTGTATCGACGGTTTTGGCGCCTCCTTGGAACAAGAACAGCTCCATGGCTCGGTGAGACCCATTGTGTACATCAGCCGCGCTACTCTTCCTGCGGAGCGTAACTGGACCGTTTTGGAGCTGGAGGCTGGTGGCATTGTTTGGGCCATCAAACGCCTTCGCGGTTATCTATGGTCGACCAAGATCATAATCTATTCGGACCGCAAATCATTGGAGAGCATTGGCAAGGTTGGGGAACACAACGCTAGGGTGCAACGATAGCTCGAATTCCTGTCCAACTTCACCTACAGCCTGAAATATCGGAAAGGTTCGGCAAACGGCAACGCGGATTTTCTTTCGCGGCTGCCTATTCCAGCACAAGACACTGACAAAACCGACCTCGACTGCATTGATGGTGTCGATCAAACGGGTGTTATCCTCGTTCGGGCTTGCGGGCGCGACTATCACTCGTCGTCTACGCCGGAGGTCGGTTTGGATGGGCTCCGCCCTCCTTGCCCGGCGGGAGTCTTTCCTCCCCCAGCTTTGCAGCCCTCCGATTTTGGGGATTTTCGCCGACATCACCCGCGTCGGTTGGATGCTCTGACGGACTCAACGATTGCCTGCGAAGATTCTCGGCGGTCTCCGGGGGTCTTGATCGTCTCGCCTGCTCCCGGATCTTCAAGGCCTGTTTCCCCATAGACTTTTGCTTCGTCCCGCGTGATGTCTCGTCTGTGGTGACTAGATATGTGCACGTTTTTTCTTCGCTTCCGGAGCGGGGACCGCTCATGTCTTCACGGACTCGGGCCCAAACTAGCGCTGCTTCCGGAGGCACCGTCACCGGTCCCGCTTATTTCGGACGCCAGCCGCGGGCTACCATCGTCCCTCGGACATCGTCGCCTGACCGTCGCTCTAGCAGGTCCCGCTCGACAAACAAGACCTCCCGGACCGCCGCGCGTCTGCTGCAGCCATCCGCGTCGCCGGCATCGGCGTTTTCGTCGACTGCTCCTGCGCCGCCGGTGTCTTCGCCGTCAGCGGTGCGCTCTGCATCACCGTTTTCGCCTTCTCTACAGGTTTCGCCCGGGACTTCGCCCCTCACGATGTCCCCTTCGCGGACATCACCACGGACTACGGTTGCCAGTCGCTGGGGCTTCGCCTTCTTCAGCCTCTTCCGTTGGATCGCCTGATTTTCTTTTGGAATCTCCTGATTCGGACACCTCCCACTCGCGGGCTTGTGTTCAGAGTTTCAGCACTGTGGACTGGGCTAGGGAACAACAGCGGGAGAGCGAGTGTGTGGTGGCTATGCGTTTTTTGTCTCGCGGTTCTCCCTGCCCACCCCCCTCCGGATTTGCTCACTCTCCGTGCTCCTCTTCGCTCCCCTCGGGTAGGTAATGTGCTTGTGTTGGCGGCGAAAACCAGACTGCACACGACCGACAACAACGTCACCCTCTTCGTACATCAATCGGCGCCGTCACCGATTGGACGCTCTGGCGGCAGGACCATTCGTTTGCCAGATACTGGCGTGCCCCGTGTCTACGTGCCAATGCTGATGCGTCCATGGGTTCTTCATGCATGCCATACGGCCGCGTCATTCCATCTCGGCGTCCATCGTACACAGCGTCTACTTGGGCGCTTCTACTGGTGGATTGGTTTGGACCGTTCCGTGCTCTGGTGGCTTCGAGCGTGCTTGGTGTGTCAAGCTCGCAAGACTTCACGTCAGACTGCTCGGTGGCCCGTCATCGCTATGCCATTGCCGCAGGGGTCAGGTACGGTCGTCGGCGTCGACTTCTTCGGACCTCTGCCAGTGACTGCCAAAGGCAACTCCTACATTTTGTTGTTCATAGACCGTTTCAGTCGGAGAGCCGACATGTTCGCGGTTACAGCCGCGGAATTTACGGCGAAAGGGACAGCTCACATCTTCGTCAACCAGTACATGACCAAGTGGGGATGTCCGACTACGTTATTGTCGGACAACGGACTGCATTTCTGCTCGAAGCTCTCCATGGCGACCTACGAGATGATGAAAATCAAGAAGGTCACCACCAGCTCCTACCACCCGCAGACCAACGGCGGCACGGAACGCGTCAATCACACGATGGCCCACATGCTTGCGGTGGTCGTCAGCGAACAGCAAAACGATTGGGACGTCCATCTCCCGCACGTTGAGTTTTCCTACAACAATTCCGTGAACCAGTCTACTGGACTGGCGCTAAACGAGATCCACATCGGACGCATCCCGCGACTTCCGCTTTCGGTCTTCGATTATCCCACGGTAGGTGGCCATCAAAGCTTGGCCCGCGATCAACTCGAGTATTGCAACCTGGCTGTCGATCGCCAGC